GCATGCGCTGCGCCCGCTCCCGTCGCCGATTCTTCTGGCTACGCTGCTTCGCTTCGATCTCCATCTTCCGAACCGGAGATCTCCTCCAACCTATCACCCAACCGCGCACACACACACGGCACTTAATCACTCGAGGGTATCACGATCAACATACGACGACGTGGACGGCGCGAGGGATAGCACTGATAGCAGCAGCGATGATGACAACGACAAAGGGAGCACACGACAGGGAGCAGACGACGGCACCGATGGTCGTGGCAGCGTTCTCATGCATTCTCTACAGTCGCAGTCGTCTCAACCGATGGGAAGAGAGACGGACGGGAGCGAGGGAAAAGAAAAACCGAGGCAGGGAGGCAGCGAGAGGGAAGCGAAGCGAGGGGAGAAGAAAGGAAGACGACGTGCGGACGACGACGGGGCGCAGGGCACTGGAGGGGCGAGAGGCAAAGATGGTGCGGGTAGAGGGAGACGGGGAAGGGACAGGGCAGAGAGGAGGCAGCGGCAGCAGCAGCAGCAAGCACACCGTGCTGCCTCGGGGTACGCACTCACGGAGACGTTGCCGTCGGCACCAAGTACGCACTGTCGCGCACGCACACACTCTCCACGCGTACCCCCGATATATATATGTATATATGTAGATAGATAGATAGATATATTTCCTCTTGTGCGTTCACGTCGAACGAGTCTTCTCGGCTCTCTGGTATCCACAAGTCGTGGCGCGACGCGTTAGTCGCGGATATCGCGATAACACGAGAGAGAGAGCGCGGTTTAACGGCACGGCGCGATGTCACATCGATCGCGCGCGGTGGTCGAGGAAGAGGAGAGAGAGTCCGGGTGCGTGTGTGGCGAGGAGGCACGCGAGAAACACGCACCCAAGTCGGACAGACGGGACAGACGAGACAGAGAGGGAGAAAGAGGGACGGGGAGAAGGCGAGAGCGAGCGAGCGAGCGAGCGAGAACGCGGCGCGTTATGGAGGGAGATAGAAAATGACAGCGGTGTATACTGTATTATACACCGAGATGGAGCACTCGCGAGACAAGTACACGCTCTTTTTTGGGTCCAAAGCACGCGCTGAAAGGCCCACGCGAGCAAGTAGTACAACTGTCTCTCACGGTAGCGCACTATTATCCGACGTTATTTTATTGGTTATACACACCGGGGGTTTTAACGCCCTACGAGCTTAATAGACGTCGCTAAACACCACTGGGAATCACAGGCACGTACGGAGCACACGGAGCTCACGGTGCTGAGCGTATAAACGCAGCTGGATTGTTCGTACGGGACTTTTGTTTCCTCCCGTTTCGACCTCGTCTTTTTCTTCGTCTTCGTCGTCGACGAGGTCGTGGTCGTAGCCGTCCACGTCGCGGCGGTGATCGCGGGCGCCGTTATCATCCTCCTCACGTTATCGCTGCGCGATTCCTCTTTCCTTCCTCTTCTTCTTCTCCTTCTTCTTCGCCTCCACGCTTCCACCTCTTCCTCCTCGCCACCGTCGTCGCCAACGTCGTCGACGTTCGTGCGCGAGACGACGACGTCGTCGAAGCGCAGACACCTCCAGCACCACTACTGCCACCGCCGGCGGCCCACGGGCCGTCGTCCTCTCGTCTTCGCGACGTCACGTCGTTCCTCTTTTTCTCTCTCTCTCTCCCTTTCTTTTTCACGCCGAGTACGGGGCAGCGCGTGTCTTGTGCGTGCCGTGCGTGCGTGCGTGCTGCATGCGTGCATGCGTGCGTGCGTGCGTGCGTGCGTGCGTGCGGCTGTCCGTCCGTCCGTGGACGTCCAACTGAACTGACTGACTGACTGCAGCGCAGCGTGACGCGACGCGGAACGGAGCGGAGCGGAGCGCTTATCGTCGCCGACGCATCCTGCGAGGACTGCACGTAGCGCACCGATTGTTTGGAATGGCGGATCGAACGAATCGCACGCACGGTTGCCGCATCGCACGGTGTAAACGGTGTAAAAATGGCCGCGCGCCGACCTGCCTTTGGCCCGTCGGAGACCAGAGCGTGTCCCGTGCCTTCGCTCCTGTCCTCTACTTGACTGACTGACTGACTGACTGAACTCTCGTCTTCCGTTCCGTGCACACCTTCTGTACTTCCCCTCGCTGCCGTGTGTGGCGAGCCTGGCGAAGCGCGCACGTATCACAGCAACACACCGTTGACGGACTCCGACGACGTCGTCGCCGTCGTCGTCGTCGTCGTCGTCGCCACCGCGTCGTGTCACGGGACGATGACGCGCGACGAGCGCCGTCGCTGGCGCATCGTCGTTATCTCCGTGCACGTATATTACACGTTAAATACACACCGGGGTTAAGTTACCGTCGTCGTGAGGAGAAAAGACGGAGAGACGAGTCGGACGAGCGAGAGAAAAACAGAGAGGGGGGGGGGGCTGAGGGACAGATACGGAGCGAGAGAGCCGTGATATATCCACTGATTATCCACGGCGAAAAGGCACCACACACCACTCCCGTATTACGCGCGAATTACAAGACGATTTTGCCGCCCCGCCGAAACTGTCCACGTTCGGCGCTGATCCTCGCACTCGCACGACGGCTATGCATTTCTGTCATCCGTCCGCGACTAGCCCTTATCCTCTCGATCCTCTGTCTCTGTCGCGCCACCGAACGAATATGGCGTACGCTCCGCAGACGGTGCATAAACGTATACACGCACACACACTTGGACGCACGTTACACCAACACAAACGGTATACACACGTTACACAAGCGGAACAGAGAATCGCCGTACGGACTTCTCGTCTGGGGTCGTGGCTCTCGCGGCCACGGCGCCGAGCTCCGCTCTCTCTCCTCTTCTCTTCCTCATCGGTTCTTCGGCTCCCCTCCCTTCTAGCTCTTCTCCTTCATAGCAGTTAGCACTCGACTTTAATATTCCGTCCTCTAGACGGCTAGATACCTTTCGTTTCTTCCCTAGGAGGAACGCTTGGGAATCGACCTGCGAGACGACGCGCAGCGCCCTCTGTGTTTCTTATGGTAGCAATTTTCGCCGCTAGGTGTCGGCACGTACCTTGCGCGAGTGGTATCGATTTTCGATGCGCAGCACGGCGCGTAATTTTGATACGATCGTGCCAAGAATGGGAAACGAGAGAACCGTGGCGCGAATCTACCGCAGCGAGCGGCTATTAACGTCTTCCGTGAATTAACGAGAGTACGTTTGGCCAGTTTAACGCCTGCTCAATGCTCGCTTCCATCGATTTTGAATCGTGTAACGCGAAAATTTTAACGGCAAGCAGACGTTTTTAGGTCGCGTTGTTTATGCTTTCTTTCTCGGCGGACACGGACGGGAGAGAAATTGTGATGATAATTTTATAATTAATTCTTTATTATTCATATGGAATGTTTGAACACCTCAACTTTCAAAATATATTTAATGCAAATTGTTTTAATTAAAAAATTTAATAAAAGATTTACATTTGTCTTCATTTAAAGAGTATTATACATAGAATGTTGTTAATCTTTATTGCTAATTAAATTATAAAGCAACAATGAAAATTGTAATATAATTTTGGGGTAACAAAAATACATGAATAACTTCGTTAAAAAACTACGTAACTCAAGTAGCAAGTCGACGTTTTAATGACACCTCGTTGACGTTGAAGATGCTATTAAAACGTCATTTGATGTCGCCTTGCTACTTCCCAGCAAATCAACACGTAACTATAACATAAATTAGAAAGCTCATGAAGAGAACAATATAATATACTTTATGATTATGGCGATATGTAGATGTTACATATCTTTGAAGGTAATTTAGGAAAAAGATATATATTTCCTCATTACGTTATATAATCTATAATAATTATTTAAAAGATAATCTAACTCAAATAGGTAACATAAATACAACAACTGCTTCCTTCAGCAATTTAATGGATGTTATATACTGTCGATATGTATAAAATATATTCCTACAGATATGTTGAATTTATTCAACTTCGAGGAGATGCTATATTAACGCTTTTTCACTGAGAGAAAGGATTTTGTTAATTTAACAAGCTATCAGTATATCTTTAACAAGTGATCAGTAAATATGTGACGACAAATTTTGTTTGTTGTGATTACTGCTAGTCTGCTATACCAATTAATTATTAGTAACCGAAGCAAACTATATAGAATCTAACCTATCTTTTGGATAGACTTCAGGCTCGTTTACATTATAGAAATCGTAGATGATCGTCGAGTCTTAAGTCGTAGGAAACTGACCAAGCACAGTCAAATATAGGGAGAATACTTGACTAGAATTGATCAATTTCTTACGATTTGAGACCCTGCAACCGTCTACGACTTTAATTATATATATATATGAGCCTCTTGTTTGCTAGCGATACTTGATTATTTGTTACATTGACGAATTAATTTGCAAAAAAAATCGTAACAGATCGATCGTTTTTTAAACAAATATCACATTTGTTTTCTCTTGATTTGTTCCTATAACAAAATTGTCTCTCAGTGTTGTGTCATTCTACAATTGGTAAGTAACATAGGGTAAATGATATAAACTCTTCTTAATTTTTTAACGTTCGCTGCAGTATCCAAAATAATCTTTCGCTTTCTCTCGGGAATCCGTTGTAGCGGAAATTAAAATTAAAAGTAGAAGAGATATGCAGTCGCAGAGCGCAAAAATAGAAAGGACGCAATCGTTATACGAGCGCAACGCAAAGATTATTCTCGTATGACAATCTCGCAGTCGCTGAACGGTAGGCTCGTATCCTTATAAAATGACGAACGAGGACATTGGACGCGCAAACCGGACTGGTGACGTCACATCGCCACATCGGCCGCATCTCCTCGCATCGTCGCGGTCAGGCCGCACTGGGCCGCACCTGGGAGAGGCGCGCCTCCTTTGAACCAGTTCGCGAGAGCAATTACGCTTTTGCGAGATCGCGTCTCGTCGCTTACGTCGCTATTCCGCGATCCGCACCCATTCCGCGCGGCCGGTTTTGGTGATCGGCACGTTTCCAAATCCATATAGGTAAACCCGTCGCGACTTCTAGACTCTCCTACGTATACGTGTCCGACGTGCCCGGAAAGACGTGTCCAAACTGACGGGACGACGACGTCGAACACAAAATTCATTTCATTGCTCTCACGATGTTAAATGAAAAAAAAAAAAATTATTCTTAATTAAAACACCTCGGGCAATCGTTTACGTAAAAAAATAAGGCAACTCTCGGATTAATTTATATACGTTGCAATAGCTGTGATATACGTTATTCTTCTTCCATTCTGTGAGAATCTGTATGCAGTCATAATAACTGAATTATATTTTTAGGATCTCTCCATAAATTTCTCCAAATGATAAAAATAATTCTTTGATTCGATCTTCGATTCATGTTAGACCAGCCGGTTGAAATTGAGGATGAAATACTTGAGATACTTCGTTCATTTGCGAGAAATAGTTTGGACCGCAAAGGATTAAGTTTCTACTAAGGAATCTACATTCACACACACACACTGAACGAAGAGATCGTGCCACTGATATTCGGGATGAATTGATCACGCGAATGAGACTAATCAGAATTTAAAGATCCGTCAGAAATCTCGCAACGGTGATTTAACACGCTCGCAGCATTCAGCATATATTGACATTGACACCGTTTCCTCGGATATATCGGACGTATTATGCATTAGCGCCGAGATTAATGCGCGTGTTTTGGTCCCAAGGTCTCGATAACTTCTCGATCTACTTGCACAATTCGCTGCGGCTGCGCGGAATCAGATTGCCGTCAAGGAAAGCGAGAAAATTATGATCGTAGACGGAGAGAACGGTGTGTAATAGATACTTTTCATACGATTGTCGGGCTTTCTATTGTTGATTTATATGAATGGCGTGATAAAGCGAACACATTTCGATATTATCGTGACTTTTGCATATACATATTAGCAACGATTGCTTACTGGCTGTACGTCGCTCAATGAACGAATCGACGAAAGTTTATTGAATAATAATCCGTGAACAATGCTTCAGTTCAATTAATCTTGCATAGATTTCTCTACTTTACGATGCAGTTCTAGTAAGACAGAGTGATAAAACGTGTGATGGCTGGTAAACATCGAATGATTTAAACACGCTTGCGATTAATCCTGATCTATAATAGGTGTAGCAATCTTTTGCTGAAATTTTTTCATCAGAATTTTTATACGAATTGGAACACATTCTTTGTATTTCAAAAATACAAAGAAAGTCTACATCTTTTTTTAGAATTTTTCGTATATGTGAATTCTGAAATATTTTAAGATTTCCCAATCTTTTAAAATTTCTAAAAAATATTTTTAACTATTTCAGATTTTACAAAATTTCTTCAGAAATTATAAAATGAGTAACCTTAGAAATCTGAGAATGTTTTAGAATTTACATATATTAAAAATTGTTTAGGCATTT